AAAAAAGTAGACATAAAATATGTTTTAGAAATAATGGTAATTACCTATCCACCGGTCACCCGCTTCTTTCTCCCATCTCCCTTCCTCTCTATACACGAGCTTGAGGGGCTCAGCCATGGCTGGCTACAGCCACAATTTTTTTTCGACGAAAAGACAAGATCACTGCTTTCCATTGCTCTTAGAAGGAATAAAGGTTTACAAACTGCACGAGAAGTACAGGGGAGGGAGTTTAGGTCATATAGTTACATCAATCTGGTTATAAGGGTCGTTCGGCAATGTGCAGAACCTGCCTACGACCAGCATCAATCCAATCCTTGGCCTCCACCTGAATTTTCAGAATTAGTGGCCCTGGGCTGCAGGAGGAATTTCTAAAAACTCCAGCATTATGTTCTTTTCATGTGTTCCACCACACCAGAGCGATAATGGATCTCCATGACTTAGCCTATTCCTTGGCCATTGTAGTAATTGAGCGCTGCCACCAGTTGATCAGGATTCGCCATTGGTGGCAATCAAACCCTGATGCATGTCCAGCTTAGGCTGTGAGCTTGTTGTTTAGCTTTCCAAGATATTTTGATATGCAACTATTTCTCCTTATGTTGTCTAGTCTAAATTCTGAATCGTAGAATCCTACTCCCTCCGTTCTTTTATGTAAGGTCATTTTCAGTCTTATAGACAATCTGCTGGAGATACTCTAAGGGTGCATTTGGTTTATAGGAATTTTACAGAAAGCTTTATATTGTCTATCTCCCATAAATTGGAAACATGTGCATGGGCCGAGGGAGACACAATATGCAGCCACTAGAGCATCTCTAGCCGATCCCTCAAAACCGGCTTACTCCCTCAAAATTGCCGCTTATATTTGAGAAGCCGCAGCCTGGTCTTAGGATAATTTCGACCCTCCTCCCCTGCGATGACCCTCTCCCTCGCTCACTCCACAACCACGCTAGTGCCGCCCAAATCCACCCCGCAGCTCCTGCCGGCACCCCCGCCCACACCGCAGCAACCCTAATCCACCCCGCACCCTCCTTGCCGGTACCTCCTCTCTCTTCCAATCGGACAAAATGGGCAACGCCTATTCGGCGTCGCGGCAGAAGGGGCCACGCAGCCACCCTGAGCACCCATCGACACGCCCCACTCCTGATCCATTTCGGACCTGCCCTCTTCACATAAGAGGAAGTACAACGACGTGCGGGGAGTGGCCGCGGAGGACTGGGTGTGCGAGATCGAGGATTGGTACATGGGGAAGCTGTACTGGATCAGCGGCTCACACTTACGACGTGATGGTGGTCTGCCTCCACGACAGTCGTGCGAAAATATTGACATCCACGATGTCCTGGAGCTCATCACCGTCGACTCCCCCCCCCCCAGTGGTTTCCCGCCACGAGGTGCGGGAGAATCGGGAGGCCTTTGAGCAAATCGAGGCCCCGCGCATCGATGAGGTGTACATGGTCTCGCTCCGAGTGAAACATCCAGAGCTCGTCGCCGAGGAGCTCAGGGTCTACGAGCTCTACAAGAAGACAACCGATGAGGCTGTGCTGTCCGGTGGGGAGGTCGATGATGAAGCCTGACCGCAAGTGATCGATCTTTCATCTAGCGACTCCGACTTCGGCTCTGGCATGGGTGAAGTGGATTGGGAGAAAATCATGGCTGGAGAAGATTAGTTTTATTTAGTTTAAATTTGAACTGAGTAGTTTATGTTCATGTTATGCAGTGTATCGGATTGTGCTACCTTTGTGTTTGAATCCAGCAGTTCTATTTTGAGATGAATTTGTGAGATTTTTTTTTTGAAAGTTAAATTTAAGGGACCGTTTTTAACTCCTACATTTTGAGGAGTTAAGGTTTGAGGACCCGTTCGAGGGCCTAAATTTAAGGGACCGGTTAGAAATGATTTTATGAGTTGAAATTATTTGAAAATTGCTCGATAAACCAACAGCAAGTAGCCAGATTACGTGGCTTGACGCTGAGACATAAAATCCGTCATTTCGACCATGGATTCCGAGTTACATAACGAGATATTCAGAATCGGAAGACAACATGCGCTGCATGCCTCGATCGAACATCGAAGCCGATATTGATTTCGGTTGCGTTTTATTCTTGCCGGTACTACTGATTTCCATGCATATTTATTCGCCGCAACGATCGTAGGCATATGCAGCAGCATGCGGTGATCCCGTGCGTGATCAGTCCTGGCAGCCGACGAACTCGTACTCGACGACGAGGTGGCCGTTGGCCACGCCGCCTCCGTCGGTGTCGATCTGCCGGAACACGGCGACGTCAAGATCGAGCCCGCCGTTGTCGCACTGGTCCACCACCCTCGCCACCGTCCGCGCCCCCGTCGCCCTGTTCGTCACCTGATGACATGACAGTGTCCCGCCGATCAAACAACGCGCGATCCATAGCAAGATGCACATTTCTTTATACGGATCATCCATCGACGGAGATAGGGACGCGTATGATTACGTACCTGGAGGCAGCGGCCGCAGGACGGCTGGCCGTGCGCGCCGGCGGGGCCGCAGAACGCCGTCCAGCCGTACCTCTGCCGCCACACCAGCGGCATGTCGGCGTCCCACGTCGCGCAGAAGACGCTGGCGACTCGCAGGTCCCAGTTGATCTTCTCTGGGTTGTACAGGTTGTACGTCGCCGCCACGTCGCTCGCCTGCTGCGCCGCCGCGCCATTGGCGGACAGGCAGGCCACGACCAATGCCACGAGAACCAGCACCGACACCGGCATTCTTGCGCCAGCGGCAGCGACCTCCGTTGCCATGCCTCTTTCTAGCTAGTTATTAGCGCCTAATTGGCCAATCAGCTGCTGCTAATGAGTAGTAGTGTATTGCTCAGTTGTGACTGGCCATATTTATAGACCCTGATTCTGACACCAGCTTCAAGCAGGACGATTGTAATCATCGCCTTCCCTTAATCATAATTTTCAATCACAGTAAGCACCTGGAGTATAGGTATCAAGTTAGTAGTTTATTCAATGAGGCATAAGAGGTTACACAAACTATGCCTTGGTCACTTAAACTCTTGCTGTGAGCTTGTTGTTTAGCTTTCCAAGATATTTAGATATGTAGCTATTTCTTCTTATGTTGCTTCAATGATGTGAGTGTGCCAAATATTTGCCTTGTTGTTTGTGAGAGCTTTGTCAACTCCAAGCTTCTCATTGGACACGTTGTGCTTCAAAGATTTTTATGCCAATAATTTGTACTCAGAGGTGACAGCAGCCTCTCTGTTTCTTTCATTGGCAGCTAATTCACCTTATGTTCTTGTAAATATCATTTGTGTCTGTCAAATGGCTTTTACCAGGGGAAAGAATAATGAGCAACTGATAAACTATATTAATTTACATTTCAATGCGATTTCACAATGCTGATGTTGTAGTTTTATTTCTTAGTGTGTGCAATCTTCAATCATGGCGTTGTTATTCTACATCATATATCTTAGAGTTGAGCTATCGAGCTGTGTCGTAATTTCGTGCAAATGAACGATGACAGTCACTGGCCGGAGTTTAATGAAAGGCGCTAATTGCACTATCATAATGAACAAGTAATTTATCATGTATCGTGGTGTTAAGGGAAATCATGAAACCGTCGTAAATGACTTTCCATATGTTATTGCATCAATAGACTTGTCTATTCTAAATTCCAACAAAATAGTTACTTTGTTCTTGAAGTATCGGCTTCGCTCGTCAGATAGCATTACCGTAAAAAAAGGAGCTTCTATGACAAATTGATACTTGAGGACTCGAGGTATTGGAGTGCATCTCGTATTAATCGCAACCCTTAGTATCAATAATTTTTGTTGCTTCCACCTGTGTGAACAAGCCACCACGTCATTATCAAAACTGTTTTTAGAGGATGAAGGAACCGAATATAGATGTTTTTGTAATTATTGTGTCAGCTTTCTGAATGATCCTTTTCTCGTTATGTTTCAACAAGGATGATTGTATCTGACAATGATATGTGAATGCCAAACCCTTGCTTTGGTTGTTTGTGAGACCCGTTGCCAATTCCAAGTTGCTTATGGGATAATTGCATTTCAAAGATTTTATGCTAGGATTTTGTAGTCACTGTTCGCGTCACCCTCTCTCTTTCTGTTATTTTTGCAGGTGTTCGTTAGTATTAAATTGTACTAGTTCTGAGATTAACCTGCGGTTATTTGCCTATTTGCATGGATAGCTAGCCAATAAAAGCTTCCCACATGTAGTTTTCTTCTTACATTATCGCTGATAACAAGGAGTGATAAGCCTGAGAGAGATGAACCAAATGTGGTTACTATAAGAGTTGAGTAACTCTCAAAAGAAAATATAAGAGTTGAGCTGCCAGTCCGTATCAGCTAGGTAATACACGCTGGTCCTTTGGATCACATATCAACCGCATATGCAAGTAAATATGACACGGTAATCTTAACAAATTTGACCGTCAATGTCCAACATCTAATCAAAGCAGGACATAAGTTACGCCACCAAGTGAAAGATAGGACGAAATAGGCTCATTGTAAGCCATGTTACCTTCATTAGGGCATTTCTAACCAATCCTTTATCCAGCTGTAAGGGAGTAAATTTGATTTTTTTTCTCCTCTAAACCGCACCTAGCCGATCCCTTATAACGGTTAGTAGTGTAGTTTTTTTACTCCATCCCTATTCATCTCCTTATATTTACTCCGGCTCGCGGGGCCGAGTAAAAAATCTGCCCCTTTCTCTTCATCTCCTCCGCCTCCTCTTCTCCCCCTCGCCTCGTCGCCGGCGCGTCCCCTGCCCCGATCCGCCGCCCCCCTCTCCTCTCGATGGCTGGACGTGGTGGCTGCCGGTCCCCTCCGTCGATCCACAGTGCGGATCTGCGCAGCCACACCCACGGGTCCTCGTCCACGGCCGCTTCCTCGAGCCGCCGCCGCTCAGCCGATCCGCCCGCCGCCGCGCCCCTCCTCTGGTTTGAGGATTTTCCGGACCTCCCTCCACCATGGCCGCCGACGAGGACCTACCTCGACATCCGGCAACGGCCGTGGGAGACGTGGGTGGCGGAAATCACCGACTGCGAGACCCACAAGCGGAAGTGGGTTGGCTCTTTCCACACGGCCAAGCTCGCGGTCATGGAATACGACCGGTGGCAGGTCCGGTTCCACGGCCGCAACGTGAAGCTCAACTTCCCCTTTGGCACGGCTCCAGTCCACCTCGTCCCGCCGGAGTCGGGGGTGATGAGCGCTGGAATGGCGCGGGAGGACCGAGAGGCAAGGGAGCGCCTCGAGGCCGAGGCCGCCGCCGAGGCCTACATGGATGAGCTTCGCCGGAAGTACTCGGAGGTTGTGGACGCGGAGCATGCGATATTCGCCGTCAATGATGCCGAAGTTATCGTCATCTTTGACGACGAGCATCTTCGACGTCGAGAGCGGCGATAACGAGGAGGGTGGCAATGCAGGCGGCGAGGTTGGCGGCTAGGACGAGATCGATGTCGAGGAGTGGTGGAGCATCTTCCCCAACGACATCGATGACGGCACTGGCCCGGACCCAGCTCAGAGGGTGGTCTCACCCGGAAGGACTGGCTCGACCTCCACTTCGGGGAATTTAGTTTAAGTTTAGTTCTAGTTTAAATTTATATTTGATGTTTGGTTGCGAAGACTTTCTATGTTGAACTTTATGTTTAAATGCATTATCTTTCGGTTAAAATTTGATTGAATTTGTGAAAATTTAGTTTTACTCTCCACTAAGTTTGGGGATCAGCTAGGTACGGCAAATTTTTTGTGGAGTATATATACTCCACTAAGATATATATACCACGTTAACTTTTAGGGGACCGGTTAGAAATGCCCTTATCAGAGGTTTAGTTTATTTTTTAACTTATGTGTTAGTACCAAAGTTACCTTACTTGTTTTCTCTCTCTCCACAAATGATAGCTTTGGAAAGGAGGTTCACTCGAATGGCATGGTGGCCCCGAACGGCGTGCCGTGTGCGATGGAGCTTGGTCGACAGAGTGACGACCACTAGCACTCTAGGAGATGGTCATGCCACAGTGCTGCATGGGTAGCATCAGATTGCGTGGATGGACTTCGGCACCTTAGATGTAGTCGGCGACCATTGGGGGTTGGTCGGTGGTTTAGTTAGCTGTGGCAGCGGCAATGTCGCAGCGATGACAGCGACACGAAGTGGTGCATTGATAGGGCGGGGCGAGGCAACTATCGCCTGTGAAAGCCACGTAGTTTACAACATGTCTTGGCATGTTGTCGTCGGCGGCTTCTACCACAATGGCTCTCGAGCAAGTGCGCATGAGTTGAAGCTGCCGATGATCGTTCATCTCTCCGTGTTCTGCAATAGTTCAATGTTCGCAAGCATGGATTTGGGCGCGTGGTGATGTCCACATCAGGGATCACACAAGTTGCTGCCTCCAGGAATGTGTACCATGGAACTGTTGATTTCATTTCCCCGTGACCAGGTGTGTGTGTGTGTACCCCTCCGTGAAACATCGTTTCTTTAAAGGGGCGACGGCAACACGGTCACTTTGACTTGGTGGTGCCTTTTGAGCACCTGATTTTGAGCTCCGTGGTTAAAACCCCAAGTCTAACCTTCCATGGTTGCACCTCACAATGGCGATGTTTATGTATTGTGTCCTTGTTAAAGGCATTGCTTTGGAGTCTGCTGAGACGTTCTCTTCGGAATGAAAACTCGGATCTCACCCTCAGTGATTGGATCCGACGACGTCGGTGCGTACACATCGTCTCATTCCTAGAGATGTTGCCTTTGGAGAACCTTTCTTGTAGTTCGTGTGCTTTCAAGGACGATGGGTGAGGTTCCTGCTTATCTGCTGTGAGTTGTTGGTTGTGTCAGCTTTGTTTCCCCGTCTTGTTCTTTTAATTCTTTTTGGTTGTGTGCATACTTGGTGTTTCAATTTGGTCTTGATATTATGTTCTTGCAGAGGTCGGATGTAATTGATATATCTTGATATTAATATATTATCCTTTGTAGAAAAATATACATGTAATAGAAAGGAGGGTGCAGACATTGGATGAACTATTATTAGCATATTTACTTAATCATTTGCTCGATCACTAAACGATAGAACAAGAACAATGCAGACTATTTGTATATTGTCTTTAATCTGAAGTTCTAAACTACTGAATAAAGTTGCAGTGGCATGGGAGCCATTGAAATATCCCCTTGAACCGAATTTTGATTCCTACAGATTTTTTGTCAAGATACTCAGACTTCTTGTATTAAAATTTACCCTGAATTGTTGTAGTACAATTTACCTTGTTGTACTAAAATTACCTTGCTACTAAAATTTCACACTGTTGTACTAAAATTTGCCTTGTTAATGTGGTACTAAAATTTAACTATTGAGTAGGAAGGAAGAGCTCAAGGGAGCAAAAGAAACAAGGAGAAAGGAGCCCTCAAGAGAAGAAACTCAAAAATCCAAGATGCGACCTTCGCATTGCTCACAAATCTTAACTAGTAACCACTACTTGATTTGTGATGGCATTGGACTAGACACATAGCGTCTAGTTCTATAACTGTATAAGTAGTATACTTGATGTCTATGCTGTTCATCTTTTAACTTGTTCGCTGAATTG